AACAGGGCTGCTTGAAGTGGTCTGTGACCCTCTTCAGGAGAATTACTCATGATGCTTATTTTAATAATGAATGTTCCTTGCTGAATTGACCATCCTGGTGTGGAGGTTTGTGAATTTGATGTTTTAATAACCTCCTCAGCTGATTCCGATCTCTCTGGGACACAGACCACGCTTCAATAAGCTCATTTGATCCCTAGCTTGCTGTTCAGTTAAACATCCCAACTGAACAGCACAAAGGTGGCTCTGTGGATGTCCTGCTTTCTTATCTGTCCTTAGGAGAGGTGTTTTATTTTATTTTTTCATTTTATCTTCCATGTAAGGGCCTTATTCCTCACTTTGGACTCTGAATTTCTATGTTGTCATCTTAATGAAGACGTGCATTGCAGTGGAAAGAAAAGGTTGTATAAGTAAAGCAGCCATTCTGATTAGTTTCTTGGTTGTATCACAGCCTATAGTTGTTGGGATTTAAGGTGAATCACACATCAGAGGTGGAAGAGGCCTTTGGGATAATCTACCAGCAGTTCTCAACCAGAGGGAGGCTGTGTGCCCACCTCCACCCCTGGTCTGTAGTAGAGATTTTTGTTAGGGTATTACTAATGCTGGGGAGAGCAGAGATTGTAGACATCCTACAAAGCAGTGGACAGTCCACTACAATGAAGAATTGTCCTGTACCAAATACAAGTGCTTTCCGGATTTAGAAATACTAATTCCCAACCAGCTGAGAAAAATGGAGATCCAGAAATATTACTTGGATCTTTTTGGTAGCACTGCCTTGTTTGCTAGACTTTTTAAAAAATCTGTCTTATGTACACTTTTCTCTAAGGGTATGGAATTAATTTTGTTAACAAGGAGTAACATTGTTTGTCCTAAATAGTTTACTGAGTTAGCCACTATTGTAGTCCAACTTGTGTAATTCAGTTCCGTATATTAAAATGTAACTGAGAGTCTGCTATGTGTAAGACACTGTGATGGGCTCTTTGGGGGCTTACGAAGATGAGTAAGGTGAGGCTTTTGCCCTAGGAAGCTCAGGATACCCAGATGAGAGAGAGACACTTGCCCAGCTACCAGGATATGACAGAGTCTGCTTCAACTGGGTTAAACATGATGCGAAAGTATAAAGAGACTATCAAGGTAGGGGAATCTGAGAAATCTTCATGAAGATGGTGGCCCTTGGGCTGTGATTTAGCAGACCAAAGGCAAGGGAAGAAAAGCAGTCGAAGAGGGCATTCTAGGCATGAAAAGTGGGAAAGAGAAAATCAAAGGTACAGAAGTAGAAAAGGTGTGTCCAGGCAAATTTAGTTATCTGGCATGATGAATGGGGAGAGGCTAGAGCAGCCAGCCAGCTGGGAACTCATTGCGTTGTGGTGGAAGGGGCGGCGCCTGGATCTGTGTTCAGGGACTTCCAAGTCAGGCCAGTTCTTCATCTGAATGGTGGCTACGAGGGCATTTGCCTCATGGTAACTAGTTGCTTTTGTTTCATGTGATTTTCTTTTTCAGTGTTTTACTTTACAAGAAAAAGGGATTTTTGTTTGTTTGTTTTTAAAGTCATCTCAACGGTCTAGACAGAAGAAGACCTTTATTTGTATATAATGTATCTTTTTATTCTCTGGGTTCTTTTTATGCTTTTTCTTTATCACTGCTTTTGGACAATTTGATTAGATTATTGTGTGCCTTGTGATTTTTTTTTCATGTTTCTTGTGCTTGGAACTTGTTGGAATTTCTTAATCTCTGGCTTAATAGTTTTCATTAAATTTGGAAACATTTTAACCATTATTTCATCAAATATTCTTTCTTCTTCACTTTTTCACCCTCTGTTCTGCCCTTTGGAGCTCAGTTATATAGGGGGGACAAAAGTAGGTTTACAGTTGTTTGTATGGAAAAATATATAACACAAGAATAAATAATAATACAAGGATACACTCTGTGTTTCACGTACTCAGAACAGTAAGCCTACTTTTGCCCATCCCTGTATGTTAGACCACTTAAATTTGATCCAAAGTGCACTTGCTAATATTCTTTCTTTCTTTCTTTCTTTCTTTCTTTCTTTCTTTCTTTCTTTCTTTCTTTCTTTCTTTCTTTCTTTCTTTCTTTCCTTCTTTCCTTCTTTCCTTCTTTCCTTCTTTCTTTCTTTCTTTCTTTCTTTCTTTTTCATTTGGACAGTCCCTATTGCTTTGTCTTCAAGTTCACTGATGTTTTTCCTGCAGTGTGTGCTCTGCAGTCAATCCCATCCAGTGTATCTTTTTCTCTCAGACACTGTAATTTTCATCTTTAGAAGTTTGTTTTGGGACTATAAAAATACCTTTCTTATCTATATTCACTTTTTAAATATAGTAAGTACCATTATGAGAACCGTTTTAATTCCTTTGTCTGCTAATTCTAACACCTGTGTCAGACTTAGATTGGGTTCTATTTGAGTTGTAGTATTTCAGTTCTTAGCTTGTGTGGTGATCTTCGATAATATGCCAGGTATTTTGAATTTTACCTTTTCAGGACCTGATGGTTTCTGTATTCCTCTACATGTTTTTGAGTTCTGTTCTGAGACACAGTTACTTCAAAATAATTTGATATTTTGGGGTCTTGCTTTTGAGATTTGTTAGGTAGAACCAGAGCAACATTTAGTCTGGGGCTAATTACTCCCCACATCTGAGACAAGATCCATCTGAGGACTCTACCCAGCTTTCTAGTCCGACTGGCGGGAACAGGCACTACTATTCCTGGCCCTGAGTGGGCACTGGCTCAGTCCCCTCCGACCCCCCAGATCATTCTTTTCCTGACCTCAAGTAGTTTCCTCACAGGACATGCACCCTCAGTCCTCTACAGAACACTCTGAGAGGACCGACCACCCACCGACCTTTGGAAGGCCCTCTCTGTGCAGTGATCTTCCGTTGGGTACTCTGCACTGGGGGCTGTAATGGCCTCGGCTTCCTTAGGCTCTCAGCTCGTCTCCTTCGTGCAGGGAGTCCACCTGCTCCCGCCTCGGTTCTCCCTCCCTGTGCTGTGGCCTGGAAACTCTCTCAAGGCAGTAGCATGGGTCAGTGATGGTGCTCGCTCCATTCCCTCCTCCTCAAGGATCGCTATTCTCTTTTGCTGATTTTCAATGTCTTGAAAACTGTTGTTTTATATATTTTGTGTAATTTGCGGGGGGAGGTGTTTCAGGCAGTAGGGTAAATGAGGTGCTTGTTACTCCATTTTTTGCCAAAAGCAGAAATTCTCAGAAAGCATTTTAAGGGGCCTGCAGAACTGGCCACACTACCTGTTCTGTTCAGAGAAAAACTTAATATAAGAACTTCTGTTTCCTGAGTGCCTTCTGTGTGCCAGGCACTATGCTTGGTACATTGAGACAGAATTCACTCTTATGATGCATTTATTGAACAGCTATCACGTGTCAGGGATTGTTCTAGGCAATGAAAATACACCACGGTACAAAACAGATTTTAAAAATTGTTGTTGCTGTGGTGCTAATGTTCTACCTGAGAGAGAATTAACAAAAATAATAATTTAGTTATATAGCACAGTAAAGGATAATAACTGCTGTAGAAAACTAAAGGGCAGGTTAAGGGGTGTCACGAACATTGGGGAGGGAATTAACCATTGCAGTTTTCCATAGAGGGGCCAGAGTAGGCTTCCCCAGGAAGGTAGCACATTTGAGCAAAGGCTTGAAGGAGTTGAGGGAAGGAGCCGTGGGACATGTGGAGGAAGAGGGTTCACAGAGAGGAAGCTGCCAATGTAAAGATCCTAAAGCAGGAGCATACCTGGTGTGTTCAAGAAATCATAAGGAGAACTGCGTTGCCAGAGCAAAGACCAAGGGCAAAGGTAGTAGGAAATGAGGTCAGCAGGGTAACTGGATTGAATAGGGTCTCCTAGGTCATTGTGAAGACTTTGGCTTTTACTGTGAGTGAAGAGAGGAGCCATTACAAGGTGGGAAGAAGAGCAGGTTTGTGATTTGATATATGTCTTAAAGGAATGATTCTGGCTGCTCTCTTGAGCAGAGATTGTAGGGTGATGGGTGGAAGCAGAGAAACCAATTAGGAGACTATGAATGAATTCAAATGAAAGATTATAATGGTGTTTCTCATGGTGGAAACAATGGAGATAGAGAGAAGGTGGATGTTGACATATTTCAAAGTTCGCAGTACCTGCATTTCCTGGCATAGCCTATGTGCATGTAACAGAAAAAGAAGAGTCAAGGTTTTTGACCAGAGCAACTGGAAAGATGGAACTAACAGATGAGAAAGACTTTGAATGAAATGAAATTGGGGGAAAGATGATGAGGAATTTAATATTGGGCATAATTAAGTTTGAGACGTCTGTAGGACATACAAGTGGGAATGTTAAGATAGGAAGTTGGATATGTGAACCTGGAGTGCATGGGTGAGTTCTAAGCTGGTAGGTCAAGTGCCCAATAAAATTTGACGGGCCCAAATTTTAGCAATGTCAAGATCTTTGGCGAGTTTAAAACTTGATCCTCTTTTGAAGGCTAATTGTCAGGATGGGTGAATTTTAAAATGTGTCTAAAAAGTGAGAACTAGTAAGTGAAAGTCTTTTCTTCCATCTTGCCAGATTGCTCATTTCATTAATAAGAAATGCAGCTAAACATTCCAGGCACAGTAGATAAACACTGAGTTTCATATCATTTATTTTTATAAATTTTTATTTTAGTCTGATGGGGGGGTGCTTTGGTTATAATACCTGCCTCAGTCATGTAGACTCATTCTAATGACTGTGTTAAAGATATTTTTCCCAAGTTTGTCTCCAAAAACCTATAAAAACTAACAAAACCATGACTATTGAAATTAATAGAGAATTCTTTCTCTTCTAGATTTGAAGACTAAATAAAATAAAGAACAGATAGTTACATTTCTAGTTTTTTATTATACCTTTTGAAATAATTTGTGTATACCTTTTAAATAATTTTAAGTGCCACAAAAATAATGTTAATAGCTCAAAATCAAAAGTAAAAAAAACCTAGGTATAATTTTTAAAATCTTTTTCTCCTCAAGCGTTTTACGATGGGATAATGAGACAGATGTCTCTCAACTGGAAGGACATTTTGACATGGTTATGTGTGCTGACTGGTAAGTACATAAAAATCATAAAACTCCTTTAGAAAAAATAGCTTTGCTGGAGTAATTGGGCTGTGCTGCTTTGCTGACGGCTAAGCAAAGTCAACAAATGAAGCACAAAGCCACCTTAACCTCAACAAATTAATATTCATCTCCATGTGACAGTTATAAGGTAGTCTTCTATCACACAGTAACTTCTACCACATTATTTCCCAAAGATTGATTTTGAGAAGCATTTCCATTTTCTGGAATTGCCTCTGTTTCATGCTTGACGTATCAGTAAATGGACGACTTAGGCAAATTGCAAATAATTATGGCTCGGAGAGGAATAGTCTGGAGAAAAAGGAGTTTATCAACACAAACAGCTCAATTAGCTTACTTCTTAGGGGAGATCAGACTATTGATATGAGGGGGACGTGTGAGCGCCGATGTGCGCACCCGTGTGTACGCTCCAGCAAGTACGCACGTCTGTGCCCATCCTTAGGGAAACAGCGTTTCTTAAAAGTCTGTGTTTGCTATTTAATATTTTCAGAGTATTTAATTAATATTTAATTATACCTAGAACAAGAATTATAAAATTACATTTATTGTTATGCAAATAATTATAGTAAAGTCTCTGTCAGATGCCTGCTTTTTAAAAATAATTTACATATTTCGTCTTCTCTTTTAGCCCCATCCACTTATTGTTAATGAAGGTCTGATCCTAAGTTACAGGATAAATATGTATCAGACATTAATAATTATTTCAACTAATCTTAATGTGTTTTCTTTATGCATGTTGGATAATTATTTCAGCATATGGGAAACATTGACAATTCACAAGTATTTTCTCTGTTAAGAGTAAGATTCGTATTTTTTATCACACTTTAGATTTGAAAACACAAGTTCAGATTCTAAAGAAGATCTATTATATTAATAAACCCAATCATAAGATCCAGAACCCAGAGAAGGCCTTCACTGTTAGAGAGTTGAATGAATGGAATGAAATTTTCAGGAAGTCTATTATCATTATCATTATCATTATGATTTTCTTTAATACGCTTTTCAATGGGTAACTTTTCTACCTGGTGAAATTAGATTTGCTGTCTTTTTTCTTCTGATAAACACCTTTCAATAAAAAATTAATTATTTTGTTTTATTTTTAGCTTGAGACTTTCTAGTTTTCCATGGCCTTTTTAGTCTCTTTGAACCCCATTTAAGACAACCTGTTTCAAAGAAGGGAGAAACAGCTTCCTGATTAATTATTGATGTTGTGTCTCAATATTTCATCCCTCCTCTAATAAAAAATAAGGACATAAAATCTTACCATATGATTTGGCCAAGTAATTTAGTAAATGCCCTTCCTCACCAAATATGAGAAAAGATCCTCCAGGTCTCATTGCACAGATGAAGATAATGCTGGCGGGATTAGATCAGATTAAGCATGAAAGCCAGATCAGAGCGCTGCCGAAAGAGGGAAGGAGGGCAGCATCTTCTGGGAGGTTCAGACGAGGGTCGCACATGGACGGGCTCTGATCATGTGGAGGGAGTCAGATCAGGCCACGAGACTCAGATCGAATTTGTCCTTTGCGCAAATATCAGAACAGCTTGTCTTTTTCATACCTTGTGACATGGACACTCACACCATGTCATCCTATTTGTACCAGAGAGACAAGCAGAGGAAGTAAGATTTAAGCTTTTTTCTGATTAATGTTCTCAGGTTAAAAATAGCCACACAACATGTTTGAAAAGAGTCTTTTTCTCCGTAGCCAACCACAGGACCACATACAACTGGCATACATAAATGCATACTCACTTCAGGCTCTCGCTACAAATGCGTAACATAATACAATGTATACACACACACACACACATAGGCACATTCCAAACACATGCACAACTCCTGGCTCTGTGAGAATTTATGAATTCAAATGAACTAAATATACCAACTTTCATTTTATAAATGGCTTTTCCATGTATGAATTAAGGTTTTTTTTTCCTGGAGTTCCAAGTGCCAGAATGTCAGCCTGTTTATAATTTCCCATTAGGAAATGTGAAACATTAAGCCACTCTCACCGCAATGCTAATATTATTTCCCAAAGAAATGCTTTGGTAATTGTCTCTCTTCATATTCACAGGACGGGTAAGCTGCTTAGAAACTTAGAAAGTACAGTGATGTCTATACTGTGTGTGCTGTGCACATAGCAGTGAAGGCGGGCTTCCGTGAGTTCTTTCCATCCTGTAGGTTTGGCGTTTCTCTCTGAGTTTCTGCCGGGATACTGCTTCGGGGGGCAGGAGCATGGAGCTTAGGGGTTTTTGACCTTTTTTTTTTTTGGAATGTCACAGAGGAGGAAAAGAAAGCTCCCTTTAGACAGTACCTGCAAGATGAAACCTGAAATACTAAGTGCCAAAAATAAGTGCCCCACTTACAAAGATCACTTGTCTCACCCCAGCCTTCAGTCATTGCCCATCGGTGAGATCTGCATTAGGCCACAGGAATATGAAGCAAGAGTCAGAGTTCAAATATTAGGTACATGGATTAAATTCTTACTGAAGCATTTCCAGCAAGGGGGGCATTGTCTGATTCCCTGAATAGCTAACCAGTGGTACTGCTTGATCCCATTTACATGAAAACGAGCTCTATTCACCAACCTATTCCCAACCCACATTGTGGTTCAAGTAAAATGCACATGATTACAACAAGCAGTGATATGTTTATGTCCTTAAATCATTCATATATTCATATATTTACATTCAAACATTCATAAACCTGTGGGCACTGGGGGAAATAACTTATTTCCCAGAAGAGACAGTCTCTTGGTTCGCATCTAAATTATTAGCTCAACTAGATTATAAAATAAAAAGGCAAACTGAAAGCTAGTTATTATTTCACCATTCAGCGTTTTTGACAATGAAATACAGTTTCATGGTTCAACAGTTCCTAAATAACTTGTAAAATGTCAACTCTGAAATAAACAGAAGGGAAAATCGAGGTACAGTCCCACCTGCAAAAGGATGCTGTTGACAAACATCAAAATATTAGAATATTTAACTACACATGTAGGGAAAAACTGCCTATTGAGTTCCTTGGTTGACGTGTTTAATGTTGAATGTAAGTTCCTTTCTGATGGAACGCAGTCCAGCCCAGTCCTTGCTGAGTTTAAAATGGCGAGTGATTGTTCATTTGAAGCCCCCCTTTTCCAGACTTCTGTTCAGTCACAATAATCCAAAGGTCTGGAAGTAAGATTTTTTTTAATCCAATGAACGCTTTTATTCAGTGTCTGATGGCTTTCCAGTTTATTGTAGCTGTGCAGAAATAAAAATGATTTTGTACATTTGGATTCTCTAAAGACTTAGAAAGCGAGTCTGACGTGCCACCCATCGCCTGACACATGGAGCTAGGTAGGTAGGACAGCCAGCGCCACCTGTGCATGCCTGCAGCCTGAGGCTGGGGCGGGGGTTGGGGTGGGGAGGCGCATCACCTCCCTTGCTCTCTCAGCACTTTTACTGTGTACCCTGGATGGTTCCTAGTTTCTATTATTTTTACTTTACTCTTCATGATTTTTTTTAAGTTTACTTTTTGTGAAGAAAAATTTTTTTCTCAAAAAGGTCTCTAGAATTTCTTTGTTTTCTTCCAGATGCTGTAATCATGGATATTTCTAAATCACAACTCAAGGAACTTTACACCTCAAAAGATATTTCACCCAAATATAGTCAGCTCTTTCCCCTCTCGTCTGAGAAAACTCAGTCCCAAAGAATATATACAAATTGCCAAAGATCTTGCAACTAAGGGTCAGAGCAAGTGAGATTGGAATAAGGCGTTCAGTGCCAGCTTCCACAATGATCAGTTGGTAACTACTGATGGAGGCCATTCTTCTGCTGAAAGGTCATCTAAAACAGTGAACTTGGCACATTTCACCTTGCAAATTACACAGAGGTCTTCCTTTTTGTGGAAAGTGACAGGGAAATGGCTCCTTATCCTCTGCACTAATTAATTTCCCTATGAGAGGAGTTGTAAATGCTTTGTGCTCTGCACAAAGCTGACTGATTCCAAGGGAGGTGACGAAAATGGCCCAGCACCTTTCTTTTGTCATAAAATCTGTGATTCAGGTACATGGAACAAAGCAAGTGTTGACTCCACAAGCGAAGTATGGAGAGGTGTGCGTGGGTGCACGTGTGCACGTGTGTGTGTGTGTTTTAATGGCCAAACTAGACTGTCAATGCATTTTGATCAGTAACTGAAGGGAGAGTTGAAATGGTATCTCCATCCCAATCACTGACCCACTCAGCCTTTTTAAATAGATCCACTTAAGCTACTGCTGTTCTCTGAGTCCATTAGGACTTATTTAAGGGGTGAATTTTCAGGAGATTATATATCACTCCCGCTAAAGCACATTGAAATTGCTCATAGGACGTATCCTACAAAGCGTTATAAATTCTCCATCAGAACTAAGGAGAAAGGTGAGCTTGCTTGGAATAAAGACCACTTAGAGAACTACGAGAATCACTTTTGGGAAATTTGATTTGGAGTGCTGAAGCAGGCAACATTACCTTTCAAATAACTGTGTTCGGAATGTGCACTGTGTGTTAAGCTGCATTTGCTGGTAAGCTGTGATGTTAATGTCTTTGTTGCCATCGCCAACATTAAGGAGAAATAGTACCGTATAAGGTTATGTTTTAAACTCAGCTTTGAAGACGGTGTTTATTTATTCTAACAATCTCACCAGCTCTGAGGATGCATGGGATAAACTGAGCACGGTCTTCTACCCAAGGCTGTGTCTCCCCACCAGCTAGGCTTCCTACAGGCCCAAGAACCCGACGGAGACTCTCCCACAATTGCAGCCTTCTGAAAAACACAAAGCCAGGAGGCTTGCTTAGGAAACCTTAAGATATCGTTACCTGACTAAAGGTACACAGTCCTGAAGAGAAAAAATTTTAAAGCACTTAGTTTGATTTCTTTCTTATCAATCCTTAATGGTTATTAATTGCTGATTGATATGCCTTCCGTGCAAATTTTATAGCATTTGAATTAGCTTTCTGTGCTCTAAGATTTAAGTATTTGTTTATGGAGTGATATGGCAGAATGACAATTCTCCCATGGGTGGTAAATAGGTTAGCCCAATTGATGGATGGAATGGGGTAAGGTTCCCATTCTGGATATGATTTCTAGCTCATCTTAGGAGTATTCTTTTTCCAGTGCTCAGAGCATCTGTTTATAGAACCTTCTACTAATCACGACATGGTGAAACCCAAGCACTGATTTCTTGGGAACATCTCGCAAACTGCTCTCCCCACTTCTGCTTCTCAAATGAGAGACGTGGAAGAGAACCTAGTCTGGTGAAACATGTGGCCTATATGTCGATTCTTCCTTATTGTAAAGGAACGCATGCAGCCTGCTTTAGGGCCATGCAGACTAACACCCTACAGAGGCGCCTCCATTTCAAGGACGGTGTTGGTCTGCCAGACAGGCAGTACGCAAATATTTATCGAGTTCCTTCTATGTGTGTATGAACAGACTGGAAGCTCCTTGTGAGCAAGAACTTTGTCTTGTTCATAGCTTGTTTCTAATGCTAAAACAACCCCTAGTATGTAGTAGGTGACAATAAATATTTATCGGCTAACATATTATTAATTTGATACCCACCATAGCCACATAGGTGGGCCTTTATTCATAAAGACACAGAGGCCTCACATTGATGCGGACCCCAGCTCGTGGAGTCTGCCACATTGTGGATGAGATATGAGAAATTCACATGGACTACTGAGTCCTGTGGAGGAAAAGGGATGGCGTGGCTTCTCTCGAGAGAGGAGAAAAAGCCTCGGAGTGCCTTGGCCACCTTCTCTAGTGGAGAGTGCCCTGACCCTTGCCTTGACAAGCTTTTATTGGGTTCAGTTTGCACAGGAATAAAGCTCATCAGTCATTGTCAGGCAGAAATGATTAAACAATAGATAAACAATAGATAACATTCAAGGAACTCTGAGGGCTTATTCAGAGTCAGGGTCAGGTAGTTAAAGGGCCATAAACTTTGGGGAACAAACTCACTTCCTGCTTGGACCCTTATCATTTAAATTGAGGGTATTAGCAAAGTAGGTTTCATAGGATTTTATGCATTCTTTCTTAGGCCTGATCACCCTAGGGAACCTGCCCTTTGCAGCACAGGGTGGCACCCACCTCCAGCATTGTTTCAGGCTTAAGGCATTGTTTCAGGCTTAAGTCAGGCAGGGGAATTAAGGCAGCCAAGAGATCAGGAGACTTCTTGCAGACAGAATGAGGACTTAGGCTATGTCAAAGCTGAGGGGCGAGGATGCATCACCCCCTTTTGCTATAGCCCCCCAAGTCCTTCCCTGCAGCCCCCGTGATTGTGCCTGTTTTAGGTTGTTCCCCCCTTGAGGAATCTTACCTGTCATTGGCTAACCAACCAAGCACTAGGGTCCAGGCAGGGTGAAGTAAAAGGATCAGAGGCTGCACCCTTGCCAGAGAGATAAACTTTGTCTCCTTAGTGGCTCATGGTCCCAAGGTCACTCACTCAGCTTTAGCCATGGTGGGGTTACAGCTCCTGAAACCAGGCAGGGCAGTTCCCAACATCATGTGAAGTGACTTGTCCAAGGTAACAGAGCAGAAAGGTGAGAGCCAGAGCTCTATCAAACCATGAAATGTGCTCCCCGCTTGCTGAAGTACGGCTCTACACAACGGCCCTCCTACTGGCAGCCAATACTCACCCTTAGCTTCAAGAAGGATGAGGCTGGGCCCTAGAGTAGGCAGCACTCACTCATGCTGCGTCAGGAGCAGGGAGGCTAAATCAGAGGGGCCTGTGCCAAACTGCAGCATTAGAAATGGGAGTAGGGGCTCCCACTTAAGTTCCTCATGCGATGGCTGATGCACAAGGCTGCCCAGTGTTCTAGGCTGTGAGTCCCATTTAAGGAAACTGTCCCAAGCTTCCAAGACGAGGCCTGGTGAGACAGAGTTCAGAGTTCACGGTCAGACTGACCCAGCCAAAGGGATGACAGAGCAATAACAGAAATTCTCAAAAGAGCAGAGGATAACAGAAAGATGGCAGTGGACTGGGAAGAAATCAACATGGAGGTCAAGGCGGGCAGGGGTGGCACATGGAATCCAGAGTTGCCGTGGTCTCTGTGACACATCGCCTAAACCGTGTCTTTGTTTTTAGAACCATTTAGTCCTAGGTCAGTGGTTGAATCCAGCCTCAGTGCTGCTCCTAATCACTGAAAACCATGATTTCATTTCTCTGCAGTTTGGGTGTAATGGGGCTGGTGGTTTGTTTTTGGAGGGTGGCCTCACAGCACCCCGGGTGTGGAGAGGGCCCACCCAGGTCTACAGAGATTAACCCCCAATGACAGGAAGTGCTGAGAGAGCTTCATCTCACCCACATAATTCTCCCAAACAGAAGCTTAGAAGTATCTCTGTATGGTGACATGTGGCCCACTCATGTATGAGTCGGGCCCACTGCATGTTGCTGGCTGGGCTCTGGTTGCACCACCGACCATGGTTATCTTCTTTTGTTTCTTCCAGTAAGATACTTGAACAGAAGGAAACAATTTCTCTTTTTTAGTGTTGCGTAAACGTGTGTCATTAGCCCTGTACTTATCTCCATTAGTATGGTTAGACTTGAAAACTCAATTTAATCTGGATTCTCTTCTCTTCTCAATGTCAGCCTGTTTCTGGACCAGTTCAGAGCCAGCCTTGTTGATGCAATAAAGAGATTACTCCAGCCCAGGGTAAGTATGTTTCTATTTTCTCCTGAACACTGGCTTCAGAATAATTAGTCTATATACAGAGATGGAGAGAGTAATGGAATGGCAGGATTAATGTCATGTAATACTTTAATACTTATTATGTCCAACTTCAATTGGGTCTTCTGATCTACCAGATTCTTTCCTAATCATAACTAGGGAACTTCTTACCCTTGGCCTTCTGATAAGGAACACAGTGGGTAGTAAAATAAATGAAAGCACTTCAAAGATAGTGTGAGATTATTTTTATCAAAGAATTTCTTGAGTCTTTTCCTTTGATAACAATATCTTCATATTAAAGTAGAAGTATGATATTGAAAGTTTTCCGTTGACTTCCGTCATTTTAAATCCCTTCAGTGGTAACATTTGTCACTGGGTATTTATTTATTAAAACAGATTTTTTTTATTTTCTATTTCTGTTTATATTAAAGAAAAAGGACTTCAGATGAATCTGTGTATTAAAAGTTCTTTGCTTTAAAAGGAAGCCATTATTTATATATTATAAACATTAGGTCACAATGAAGCCAAGCGTGGCATAAAATATTGTGCACATTTTTACATTTATATATCCATTTATGCCTGTGAGTAAATTACAGAGTTTGTATCCACTCTTATTTTGTTGGGCTGTTATACTAAGCTAGGAGGTCCTGCAGCCTAAACGGAGAGTTAATATGCGTCTATTTAAAGTAAGAAAATGAGTTTAAAGCTCATGCATTAAAAATAAAATCTTATAAGTATGTAAGGTTCTTGCTGTACCATCGAATTTAAAATAGGTTAACAATGTTAATGCAGTCTCTGACAGGAACTCACATTTGAGAAAAGACTGCAGAGAGAGAGAGTGCGCACGTGTGTGAGGTATTTTGTGAAGTTTTATTTCTAAAGTCTTTTTAAAAAGAGGGTTTGCTCCTGTCATCTGAAGTCAGTGAGACTTATAGACTAATACCTTTCAATATTTCTTTTATATCTGTTTTCACATTGAAGTTTTCCAGAGCAATTTGATAATCATCCTTTGCCTTCCACCGTTGCTTTTGATTTTGTTATCTCTGTATACAATAGCTCGGGAACTTTAAATAGGCCTCTCAGAGGAGAGACCACAGCTTTGTAAGTAGTAATCAATTGAAGTAAATTGGCCTTCTCCATTCCCTCTGTGAGGCAGGTAGTAGGTCTTGAGGTGAGGAAGGGGCACACTCCAAGCTACTGATGGCTGCTGCCCTGGTTGGGTGAGGAGCCCAAGTTGAGGGCAGAAAAAGGAATTTGGGGCCTCTTCATTCCCTCTGTGAGCTTTGGGTGATTCCCGAGAGCATTTGCAAGATCAGGACTTTCAGAGAGGGCACCGAGACTCTCGGATGTAAAGGCCTTTGTGGAGATGCATCATCCATAATACAATGCATCAAGGACTCCTCAGTCCCACACCAAACAAACAGTACGTCACTCTTCGCCATCACCCCCTCAAAGCCTGTTAGTGGCACATGGTCCATTTTGCAGCAGATTTGCATGATTTACCCATGCTATGAGTAGACCTAAATGCAGATTGGACTGGAATCTCCAGCGTTTCTTAAACCTGGAACCATGCTCTTCCCTTGCTTGAAGTTGGCTCCACACAGCCCTTCTCTGGACAGCTGACACTCACCCTCAGCTCCAAGCAGGCTGAGGCGGGGCCCTGGCGTAGATGGTGCTTTCTCATGCTGAGTGAGGAGCAGGGAGGGAGATGAGATCAGAGGGGCCTAGACCACACTGCGGCATTAGAAGTGGGAGTTGGGGGTCTGGCTTAGGCTCCTCATTCACAAGGCTGCCAGGTGTTCTCGGATGAGGAACTAGGGGTCCACCGTAAGGGGGGGGGAGTCCAAGTTTTGGATGGCATGTGGATATTCCAAAATTACCACCCAGGAAACTCATCCCTATTGGGAAGTCTGGGGAAGCATAACACTTGCGCCTCCTCCGCCTCTACCCTGATGGACTCTAGAAGGGTCATGTGGACTTGGCAGTGACCAGCAGCTGCATATCCTGTGCCAGTGGGTGACAAGGGTTCCCAGAGCTTGAAGGTAGCTAGAGAAAAAACTGAACTATTCTTGTTAGCTCTCCGGGCTGGCTGCTTTGCTCCCAAAGGAGCACCCCCTGCTGAGTGTATGTGTTGTCGAAGCCACAGTCCAAGACTAAGATAATAATAGTAAAGGTTTTATTCCATTACAATTAGAGCTGCTTTCAATGTTTTCTTGAACCCAGACACTCCTCCATGGTTTTGTGGCCCAAGGGTCTGAAGGTGCCACAGAGTCCCACAGAGAAACAACTTGGGGGCTACGCTGGTGGATCCCAAGTTCTTTGTAATTCAAGGCTCAGCAAAATAGCAGCACGATTTACAACAGCCAAATGCTAGAAGCAACCTAAGTGTCCATCTGTGAATGAGTGTATCAAAAAACTGTGGTACATTTCCACAATGGAATACTACGCAGCAGAAAGAAAGAAGGAACTCGCACCCTTTGTGACAGCATGGATGGGTCTGGAGAGCATTATGCTAAGTGAAATAAGTAAGCCAGGTAGTGAAAGACAGATATCATATGATCTCACCTTTAACAGGAACCTAATCAACAAAACAAACAAACAAGCAAGCAAAATGTAACCAGAGACATTGAAATAAAGAACAAGCTGACAGTAACCAGAGGGGAGGTGGGAGGGAATAACAGGGGGCGTGGGGAAGGGTCTTCAAGGAACACGTATAAAGGACACAAGGACAAAGCCAAAGGGGGAAGGATCGAGGGTGGGAGGTGGGGATGGCTGGGGTGGGGGGAGTGGTGGTGGGGGGAAATGGAGACAACTGTGCTTGAACAACAATAAAAAAAGATACATCTCAGACATTTTCATACTTACACTGAGATAAAAATAATAAATCTTAAGTGTACAATTCATGCAGTTCTAGAAAATGTGTACATTCATTAACAGCATAATCAAAATAGAAAATATTTGCATCACTATGCAAACCTCCTTATGTAGTTTTCCAGTCAGAGCCCACAGCTTTTACACTAGGCCACAAAAATTCTAATTTATGTCACCATAGTTTTACTAGTTGTACAATGCGTACAAATGGATTTTATTATCTGTATATTTCTGCATCTGGCTTCTTTTGCAAAGCATAGTTGTTTGAGAGCCAAATTCAATGGGAGATACAAGTTTTCAGGGTGCTCAGCAAAAACTACACTGGAGCCAGGTGCTTCAAATTCCTGGGGCAGTTTCTGAAAGCAAATTGTGGTGGGTGGAGCCTGGAGTAACTTCAGGGAAAACCAAGTTTGTCTTTCCTATGGAGTCAATGGGTTCATCTCTTGAAGCCTCAGATTTCCATCTATAAAATGAAGAGTGTGTTCACTCCCCATACCCAGTGCTTTGGAAAGCTTTAGCATCCAATTGGCTCTAAATATATGTTAGCTCTTGTTACCTTGAAGAACTAGAGAGGCTTTCTGGCTGTGGCGAGGACAGAATAGAGGGGGCTCTTTCCAACTATTCAATATTTTCCTCAAAGAAATGCTGGCAGGAAGGGAATAAACCATTTTCTTGACCTTGACTTTGACAACTTCTGCACATAACTGGGCACACGGTGTCCCCCTGCACCCATTTTCTGCACCCCTGCAGCAGGCCCCGCATGGGTCCCAGGAGGATTACATACCTGGATGAAGAGGGCAGTTTACTGCAGACAACCTGCACTGCACGAAGGGAGAGAGATTACTACCAGATGGCAAGAATGAAATAATTGCAATATGAAGGTTCAAGTGTCAAGCTGTGGGAAGGAATGAATTCTGTCACTTTGGGGAGTGTGGTTCTTTGATTTCTAGCTACGGCAGATCAGCTGTCTAAAGTCACAGTTCCAGAGGCAAAGAAAGTAGTTGGAAAGGAAGTTTCTCTGCTTTCCATTTTTCATGAATTCATGAATGGGGGAGGGCGTGTGGGAGAGACCTCATAGAGGGCTTAGGCACCGGGGTGGGCTTCTGGCAACCTCAAATCCCAGGGCTGAGCTTAGATTCTCTGCCAAACAGGCACCCGTGCTTGGAAAGTTATTCTCAGTAGCTGTGAATTTCAGCAGGAAATGTTTGTCATCTGCCCCAAATGGAAACCTTCCTCAATTTGCTGGTTGAGAAAAATTGAAAACATGTGACTCCTGCCAGAATACTACAAGGGACTCTCCAGCAAACTTAAGAGATGAGAAGAAAATAAAGTAGATATTAAAAAGAAATGAAATCAGCAAATTTTACTCATTCCAAGAAGCAGCCTCCCCCCCACACACATTTTCCCCTCTGGTGAGAGGCTGCTTCTTCTTGATGATGGATAGGTGCCCCTCTGTCATTGGGTTCTTTAAAGAGCATCACCAGTGCCTGATATCTGAAGACCCAAACGTAATTTAAAATAGCCACGGCAGCCTGCAAGTTGAACTCGAGTCCAGAAATGACAACCAGCAAATGGCATCTACTGATATTCCTCTGAAATGGCTTTGGGTGCAGGGACAGGAGCCAAGCCAGCCAGCCAGTGTGAGTTGACTCAGGACCACGAGGAGATGGGCGGGGGGGGGGGGGGGGGACTGCAGCGTGGACAGCTCTCCAGCTTCGTGTCCCTGCTGATTGATGGTCAGGAATGCAAAAATACCGCTGTGGGATTCATTTAACTTTCTTCAGAAATGGCCGGCACACAATGACAGCCACATCCCTGGGATCCTGCCTACATGCCAGGAGTGCTGTAAATGTAAACCACAGACTCTAAAGAGCAATTTCTTTTTATTGACAGATTTCCTTCTTTTTTTAAAATCTAACATCTTTGTATGCACCTATGCAAACCTTTGTTTTGCTCATCTCAGGGCAGAGTCTGGTGAGTGCGGGTTCGGTGCGGTGAACTGAGATGCTGCTGAAGAGCCCTCGGGGTGCTGTCTGCCGGCTGGGCCAGGGGCCCAGCAAACCCTCCCCTGTGCGGGGTGAGAAGCTGTGTTCAGCCAAGCCTGGCTCTCCCCG